CCACCTCCCATCAACCCCTTAGACACTAACTGGCCTCTGCTAACCGTCTCCAAGGGCTTCTTCGAGGGAGCAATTGCTGCCAAAGGTGACGGGCTGTTTTTTGAGATGCTCATACTCGTTTACAGTGTTACCTGGATTTATAAAGTTGGATGGATCTAATTTCTGACATGAATTGTTGTGTATGTTTGAATAGGACGAGCAGGGCAGATGGTTGCTGACCTGGACATGGATGCTCCTGGAGATGAAGGCTGGGGAGAAGATGCAGAGCTTCATCTGGATGAAGGTATTTACTGTAGTATTTTATAGTAAAAACCTGTTATGCATTAAGACTATATTTTTGAAGCAAGGACCAAACCATACTTAATGGCTATTCATACCAAGGATGATAACTATAAAATTTTAATAATCCACCTAGAACACTAACACTTTAGAGCACTATATCAAGTGGCAACACCCTAGCGACCAGCTACACCCACTGTCTTACAATCTAAACGCTCGTCTATCTCGCTCTTCTCAGATGGATTCATGGATGCTCAAGAGGGACTGGGCGATGAGGGAGCTATTGGGAAAGATGAGGGCGGAGGATGGGAGGTTGAAGAAGATCTGGATCTCCCACCAGAACTGGTAAGTTTTATGTAAAACTGCAGTTAAAATCAGTTCTGTCTGTAAATGAAACTAGATCTTAAGTAACCTCATCTTGTTTTCTTTCCTTTAACCAATAGGATGTGCCTTCTGTTGGAGGAGGTGGCGCAGAGGGCGATGGTTTCTTTGTGCCGCCTACCAAGGGCACAAGCCCCACCCAGATGTGGTGCAACAACTCTCAGCTGGCTGTGGATCACATGTTGGCTGGCTCTTTTGAGACTGCTATGAGGGTAAAAGGATCTCACAAAACCAATTATAAATCTTTACTATCACTTTTTATCAATCCATGCTGAACAAGTGTTAATACTTCAAAAAGAAAGAGAAAAAATTACCGACCCCAAACTTTTGAACGTCAGAATATTCTGTTACAGAAGATTTCTATTTTAAATAAATGCTGTTTTTTTTAACCTTTTATACATTGATAATAAATCAGCATATAAGAATTATTTCGAAATGATCATGTGGCACTGGAGTAATGACTGATGGAAAGATTTGTATCACATAAATAAATTTATTAAATTCTATTAAAATGGAAAACCATTATTATAAATAGTTATAACATTTCGCAATATTACTGTTATTTCCGTGTTTGTTATCAAATAGGCTTGGTGAGCATAAGAGACTTCTTTCAAAACATTGTGTGTGTGTGTGTGTGTGTGTATATATATATATATATATATAAATGTAAATTAAAATATTAAACAAAATATTAGTATTGTAATATTGACTAAATTGTTTAAGAAAATATGATATAGTATATACATCTGTAAAATTATATTACTAATATTTATGTAATAATATATATAAAACAGTTTCAACATGTTAAACCATCAAGTTTCTATTCTGTCTGTAAACTACAGGGATATTTTATAATGTAAATGTTTACATTATGTAAACAGGGCAGTTTATAAGCTCTTCTCTTTACAAGTTTGGTAAAATTGTTAGGGCTTGTCGCATTCTCATATGCACAAAATAAGCAACACACTCACAGAACTTACAGAGATACAAAACACTGAAAACACGGGTTTATGTGTAAATGGACACAGTGCCACGCTGTAATGCACTCTGCATGTATTTTGTTAGTATTTGTTATATATTTGTCACCAAAATGTCAGAAAATCTGAAACATCTGCTTTCTCTAATGCATTTTATTCTCTTTTCCACAGTTACTACATGACCAAGTTGGTGTGGTTCAGTTTGGACCCTATAAGCAGCTTTTTATGCAAACTCTGTCTCGTGGCCGCACCTGTTACCTAGGCCTGCCGTCTCTGCCCTCCTTGCACAGTTACCCCCATAGGAACTGGAAGGACAGCGGGGCTAAAGGGGGTCTGCCAGCGGTGGGCCTGCGTCTAGCTGATCTCATTTCACGCCTGCAGCAATGCTATCAGCTGACCACAGCAGGACGCTTTGAAGATGCGGTCGATCGTTTCAGAGCCATTCTTCTCTCCGTACCACTGCTTGTGGTTGACAACAAACAAGAGATCACAGAGGTGTGTTGTGATTCAACATGAATATTTTTATCAGGGTTTTTGTAGGGTTTGAGTACTAAACATAATCTTTACTTTAACTTAGGCACAGCAGCTGATCACTATCTGTAGGGAGTATATTGTTGGCCTCACAATGGAAACAGAGAGGAAGAAACTTCCTAAAGACACTCTCGAACAACAAAAGAGACTTTGTGAGGTGGGTGCATTTCTTTTCAAGCATTAAAATATATTGATTTAAGATTGTAGTAATTTATATTCATTTATTTTTTTGTGTTTTAGATGGCAGCATATTTCACACACTGCAGTCTGCAACCTGTCCACATGGTTTTGGTGTTGAGAACAGCTCTCAATCTTTTCTTCAAACTGCGTAACTTCAAAACAGCAGCGGGTTTTGCTCGCCGTCTGCTTGAGCTGGGCCCCAAACCAGAAGTGGCACAACAGGTAAACAAATGATGCTTGTTTTGTCATTTTCAATTATTACAAAATATTTCCATTTTAAAGGGTTAGTTCACCCAAAAATGAAACTTATATCATTTAATGACTCGCCCTCATGTCGTTCCAAGCCCATAAGACTGGAACTTCAGAACGCAGTTTAAGATATTTTAGATTTAGTCCAAGAGTTTTCTGTCCCTCCATTGAAAATGTATGTACGGTATACTGTCCTTGTCCAGAAAGGATATAGACATCATGGCAAGTAGTCACTGTGACATCAGTGGGTTAGTTCATTTTTTGAAGCATCGAAAATACAATTTGGTCCAAAAATAACAAAAACTACGACTTTATTCAGCATTGTATTCTCTTCCGGTTCTGTCGTCAATTCGCGTTCACGAGTCTGTAGTGACGCTGCTGACGTGTATCTGGTGCATGTGTGTATTTGGGTTCAAATAACTATGACTAGGCAAAAAAATGCAAGTCTACAGTTTACAGCGTGCATCTCTCTCCGACTTTAAACGAAGCTCCACTGATGTCACATGGACTACTTTGATGTCTCTATTTCCTTTCTGGACAAGAACAGTATACAATACATTTTCAGTGGAGGGACCGAAAACTCTAACTAAATCAAAAATATCTTAAACTGTGTTCCAAAGATGATCGGAGGTCTTACGGGCTTGGGACAACATGAGGGCGAGTCATTAATGACATCATTTTCATTTTTGGGTGAACTAATAACCCTTTAATATATTTAAACTATCTTGTGGCCCCTTTGTAAGTGTGTGGAGGAAGGGAAATGATTGGTATTGGAATGGTTTCAGATATTTATCTTTATATACTGAAATAATATTTTTGACAACACAATGCCAATGTGTACATTAACTGTTATTCATAACCCCGTCTTTATTTACTCAGACACGAAAGATTCTTGCAGCATGCGAGAAGAGCCTGACAGATGCTCACCAACTGAACTACGACCCCCACAATCCCTTTGACATCTGCGCCGCCTCCTACACTCCCCTGTACCGTGGGCGGCCAGTAGAGAAATGTCCCCTGTCTGGAGCCTGCTACTGCCCCAAATACAAAGGAGAGGTTTGCAGGGTCACACAGGTTAGTTCGAAGCCTTTGTAATGTCAGTGTTTTTTAAGTGTTGGTTTATTGAAGGGATAAAGTCTTATGGTGTCAACTTTACTTTACTTTTCCCCTTGTTCAATGGTTTACCTCATCGTGCGGTGCTATAAAGTGAAGAATCCATTTCATTGGCGATCTCTCTCTCTCTCTCTCCTGTTTTTTTTTTTAGGTAACTGAGATAGGAAAGGATGTGATTGGATTGCGTGTCAGCCCGCTGCAGTTCCGTTGAACATGCATTGCATAAGCATGGATGAAATAAATACGCTCTCTGTTTTCTCTCACATCTACTTTTCCTTTATAAGATGAAGTAACTACTTTGAGATCAGAAAATACCTTATGTGACTAATCTCTCTGTGACTGTCATTTCTATTATATATCCAAGGTCTCTACAGTCTGTATTCTAGCTTTTCATTAATCTAAGTAACTAATTGTACATCTGTGACCCCCGTCAATCAGTGAGAAAAGTTTCAAATATCGAAATAAAATTCTTGTGATCAAATGTTTGACAACTTTTTTTTCTCCATCATGTATCTCTAACTAAAACTATTAAAAAAATATTACTTGAAATAAAATGAACATTTAACTAAAATAAAATGTATGTAAAAAAAAAAAATTCGGAAAAGGCTCAGGAATTTCTCATTTTTAAGTTAAAGTACTAAAATAGCTTAAACTATGTAGACGTTTTTGTTGTTATTTAAAGTCCCCGTGAAATCAAAATTGAACCTATTTACTTTGTTAGCGCATATTACTAGTCTTGTGGTGAACAATTAATCCGTGCAAGTGAATATATATAAAAAAAAATGTTTTACCTTAGTAATCTTTAATCAAAATCTGAAAAGTTACTTCCGGTCTGGAACGGTTTCTTTTTCTGATGACGTAGGTTTCACAGTTTGGGTGGGGAAACGCTTAACCACTCCCCTCAAACCGTTAGTTTGCTATGAGCGAGAGATGGAGAGGAGGAGCGCTAGAGTAAAACCCTGCCCTCTGTTCAATATTCCGTTTCACTTGGAAATACGTCACAGCACTGGAGAAAAATCGTTTGCAACTTCCGGTTCACGGGGACTTTAATAATAAAAATGACTAAAACTTTAAAACTAATTCAAAATATTAACAAACCATAATATATCAATGCTTCTAAAATATCAAACAAGGGCATAATAGTTTTCTTGTTTACAAATGGTACTAAGGAGTGAATGAAAGTTACTTGATTATTTCATAGATATAAATTATTATTATTTATTTATTTTCTTTGTGACCACAAGGAGGTGCAAAATGTCACTGAGAATCAAAACAAGCAAGTTCACATGGTTTTGGTTAGTGCTCTAATTTATTTTGATCAATTGGAAACTTGTGTTTTCAATTCAGTACAAAACAGATGGATTACATTTCTGGTTCGCAGAAACTTAAGAAAAGTAGGCTAATAAATCCAAGACTTTGTTAAATTAAACACTTTCATAATAAGCAGTGTTTAAAAGGAATAGTATACGACTTCTGTAGTCCGCAGGTTGTTCAACACAAAACATCACAACATTGAAAACTGGATTTTCCAGTATAAGACAGTCATTTAAAGGTCTTTGTCACATCCCTGCTGTCTGCTTAAGATCATCCTGCTCACATCGATGTTGTTATTGCTAAAAACCTCTTTTCCATGGGCGACGGTGACAGCAGGCAGAGATCGGGTGCGGCCCAGAATCCAAGCGAAGTCTACATGAAACAGTCTCAAGACATCAGTGCATGAATATACCAGTGCTGAATTCTCATAGTCGGTGGACAAAATCCAGTATGGAGTGTAGGGCAAAACTGTCAATTCAAGTAGAGAAGCAAAACATGAAATATGGTTCGAAATGAATGAAAAATAAACATGGCAATGGCATAGCATTTGATGTAGCAAATGCTCAAAAAAAGAAAATCAGCTTCGTACCATAAGAAAAACTGATTCCAAGCTTTGCAGGATTTTTCTTGTCTTCCACCACAGCTGTCCCGTCAATTGTTCTTAGCTCTCCTTTTCTAATTGAATAAAGTTGGTTTAACTTGGTGTATTATTTATTATACAATTGTGTAATTCAATGAAATTATAACAAAGTGACCCTTTAAATACTGCTTGACTTGTTGGTACTCACAGAATTTCTGAGCTCACTACGTGAGCTGATCCATCCAGCTTAAGAGTAAAGTTAGTCTCAATGCATCTCCCTCGCTCAAACTGTGCTGGAAGTTTAGCTATCTCAAACCACCTGCCCATAAACTATATTAGGATCCAGACAAGCAAACTATTAAAACATTTAAGAGCAGAATAGAAGACCTGATAATTGCATATGTTGAGGTGTAATAATACGCTACCTTCTTTAGGTTAAAGGCAGGTTGAGTTGCAGGTTCTGGGCATGGCCCCCAATGAGGCACCTGGGCATTTATGATGGGCAGAAAAAAGGCCAAAACTACCAGAAAGGCCTTCATTTTACTTGCAATGCCCATTGCAAAAAAAAAGAGAGAGAGAGAGAGAGAGAGAGAGAGAGAGAGAGAGAGAGAGAGAGAGAGAGAGAAGAAGAATATCAACAGCTGAAATTGAAAACATTTTCTAAACTTAACTGTCATATAATTTATTTTTAATAATTCTTTTAAAGAAGTCTCTTATGCTGACCAAGGCTGAACTTATTTGATCAAAATGCAGTAAAAACTAGTATTGTGAAATATTATTACATTTTAAAATAAATATTTTCTATTTGAATTTATATTTTAAATGTATTTTATTCCTGTGATGGCAAAGCTGAATCTTCAGCATCATTACTCCAGTCTTCAGTGTCACATGATCTTTCAGAAATCATTAGAAATCATAAACTTACACCTTTTTACGATTCTTTAATAAATAAAAAGATAGAAAGAATAGCATATATTAGTAAAATTACAAATATATGCAATGTCGCTTTTGATGACCCCAAACCCTTGAACAGTACTGTAGCTACATATTCAATTTCTTGGTGAACAACCATTGTACAGAAAACAGTTTGACAAATTTTAAATCCTTACCTCTTAAAGATGTGCTGAATACTAGATGGTGTGTGGAGCTCTGAGTATTTATTTGAATCATTCTCTCTCTGGGATCATGTGACTGCAGAAAAGACGTGTCATGAAGGAGTCTTTGTGATGCCACAGTTTATTCCCAACATGAAGTAAGTGATTAGGCAAATTGAAGTCATGAGAGGATGTTCCATTAATGGATATCTAAACTACACTGTTGCTTTGTCTAAATTGTCTTTTTTCTTTATAAGCATTCCATTTGTTCCTGTTGTGTTTTTGAAGTTCAGGTTTGGGGCACACATGAGGAAAAGTAACAGTAAGTTGTGATGGTATGTGACAATGAACCTGTGCTTCCAAATTGAACAGCAGGCTGAATGTAATGGTGATGCTGACAGATAGAGGGCGCTATATATATATGTAGCTGTTATGAGCATGCTCTTCTGATTTGTCTGTCTCCTTTGCTGCCAAAAACAAGTAGTGACACTTCATCATAGCTTTTAATTGTATTTATGAATCAACTCTCAATTTTTGTGGGATATGAGCATTGATTATACTGAGGAACGGGAAGGGGGAGGCACACCTCATGAACTCTTTTTCTAATGATATGAAAACTTCCACGTGTATATCCTCAGGACATTTATGCCGTAAACATGTGTCTTTACATAAGGACCATATCGTCCCCACGTGTTGTGTGTTTTGTATGTTGCAGGTGTTTGTGATATCTAACAGTGATAAGAACATAGTGAATAATTCACATGACTCAACCTGTTGAGTATAATCAACTTTCATAAAAGGATGAATGGAAAAACATTAAATAACATCTTTGATGTCATGAGAAGAAATAGAAAAAAATCAAAAATTTGATGTAGGTGTTTTAATTACTTTTATTTATTTATTTTTATTTTATTTTTTTGTAGCCTATATCATGGGTAACAACAAAACATAGAATTCAAATTTATCTAGCAATGAGAATAAAGTTATCAGACTAGAAAGCCAAGTGCTTTGTTAAACCAACATAAGATCTATTTAATTCTGGAACTATAAAGCTTATTGGATTCAGGCAGTTTTTTGAGAAAAACAAATTGGCACAATTATTATGTGTGGTCATTCAGAAATGATGGCTATAGGATCCAATGGGCTTTATGCCCAGCTGCACTACTTCCTGAACTTCAGCCAGCTCCTTGTTTCCTGTCTGCCATTATTGGCCAAATTGATTAATCCAGGAGTGCCTGACCTCAGTAGTCATGGCAACAATAATCAGACACACCTGAATTAATCAATTTGGCCAATAATGGCAGACAGGAAACAAGGAGCTGGCTGAAGTTCAGGAAGCAGTGCAGCTGGGCATAAAGCCCATTGCAGTAAGAAAGTGTCAGGATTCTGCCCTTTGTCTTTGTTGTCTTTGTTTCGTGTCTCTATGTTTGTTGTTGTGCTTGAACATATGGCTCTGTCTTTGTGTTGGCCATGAGCTCCTCTGTTCCTACCTTTCCCAGTAACACTCCCTCTTGTTGTCACCTATTCCTCCCTTGTTGAGTCCACGGTTTCCTGAGTGTGTTCACCTGTTCCTTGTCTGAATCTGCTCACTTGTTCCACTTCTTCTCAGCTCCATGTATGTCTTCTCTTGCCCTCATGTTTTGCCAGTTTGTCGTCATTGAGTGTGTTGTGCTACCTCTTACTTATTGCTCATGGTTCCAGTTGTGGACATGCCTGGATACCATGTCTTGTGTATGTTGTGTTCCCTGTTTGTTCCAGCCCTGCAAGCTAGACTGGACTGAAGATCCCCATGGCGGAGCAGAAGACCACTGTAACAAAGGTCACAGAAAGCTTAAGTTTGGCTTCTGAGACTGTGTCAAAACAAGCAGAAAGTTCAGTAAATGCCTCTGTGGCCATATGGGACAGGCTGCGCGTTCAAGGGCGACTCCCACGGTCACAACAGGACAGGCAGAGAGTTCAATAATGACCTCCGTGGTCCTGATAGAGTAGACAGTTCATCTCCTCTGCATTTGTGTCAGGGCAAACAGAGGTTTCAGGGACAACCTCCATGGTCGTATCAGGGCAGACAGATAGTTCATTGATGACTTCTTCCGTGATCATGTCGGAGTGAAAAGTTCATGAGCCTCGAACGAGCTGGAGAAGTGTGTACGACCCACATGCACAAGAGGGCCACCACTATCACTGGCAAATGCACTCAACGGTAGAAGAGTCTCAGAGACCCCCGGACTTGGGACTATCTGATGCTACGCACTGCTCGTACTGCTGTCAGTAGTGGGTCTGCCACACGGGAAATCAACCCCAAACGCCCATGGATAGTCTTCCTCAGTTCCAGAATGTTGATTATGATGGTTAGGGTAGACTGGGTACAGTTGAGACACTTTTTATGTTTTAATATTTCACACAAAAATAGATACTGAAAAGACGTGAATTTCCACATGACATTGCCACATGACATTTCATTAGCTTGTAGACTAAGATATTACCAATCAATATTACTCATAAGTAGTTTATATTTTCCACAATTAGCTCATAAAAATAAGTTGTTTTTTGTCTCAACTTTGTCTCAACTGTACCCATATGTGGTACAGTTGAGACAGTACCATGGTACAGTTGAGACACCCATTTTTAATGATGTAAAGGTAACTAATCGTTCACTGAAAATATAATAAATAAAGTCAAATAAAAAAATAACAATTGAGCAACATGTTTGTTTTTTCATCCATTCAAATTCATTAATTTTATTTTAATTGGGACTGGTTAAATTTTATAAAACAGAAACAATTTATTTTATATATTCATTAATAATACACAGTTTAATTATCACAAATACCAATTTTTTATTTCATTTGCGGCTTATGCTGGCTAATTATGACATTTAACCTGTTATCATAACACTGAACAACTAAACCGTGTGTTTCCTAATTGAACTCTATTGCGGGTACAGTTGAGACAGTAGTGTCTCAACTGTACCCCGCTGGCCACCTCGAACATTTCTCTAGATTTTGCAGTGACATGCATGACACAATGCCATGAAATATGCCCATTTTTAGGGCACAGAATAACGTTTGTGATTATACCAGTTATGTTTAACAGTCACACAGTGATAATAAGCTATTCATTGTGGAGTGTGCATGGTGAAGTGAACGTCTTACCTTAGAAAAATTACTTTTGCCAATAGCTTTGGATCGGAGATGCTTCCATTGATCAGATTTCCCACGATCAAAGAGGATATTAAAATACTGACGGCACATATGTGCAGTCAGTATTTTAATGTCCAATCATTTTGCTTAAAATACTGACGGCCATTGGATTCTTGGGACACCCTTTGAGTTTTATTTTAAAGCTTTAGTTTCAAAGTTGTGGAAAGCTATACCCATGATTCGTTGATCTCCTACTTTTGATAAGTTCAACTGAAAGTGTGTTTACTTAACCTTCAACATCTGTTTGAGCAGATGCCCAGATTCCCCAAACCTGTTCTAATGAGGTTTTATTTCAGTTGAAGGGGGTGGAGTTAGTGATATAACCAAAAGATATAAAAAAAACCAGTCTATATATACTAAACTTTGTCACTGTTCTTTACCTTCCACTCTTGAGTCCAAACAGGTAATATGGTTGCTTTGAGTCTACAACTGTCCAACCTTTAATTAACATTTCTTGTTATCCTCATTTGTTTTTGTTTTTTCAGGTTCAAGCTGAAAGAATGCAGGCTCTTCAGGTTCTGTCTCTGACTTTTCTGTCCGTGCTAGCGGTCAGTGCTCAGTCCATCAGCCCTGGAAAATGTCCAGAACCTCCTGTCCAACAAAACTTTGATCCTGCTAGGGTAAACTTTTGCTTATACACTGTCAAAAATCCACCTAAATACTTAAGGTCAGCTGCTGGCTATTAACTTGATTGTACAAGTAATTTCAACTTAAATTACATTAAACAGACGTTTAAAAAAATTAGTTGAATCTCATAACTTACAAAAAAGTTAAAGTAAAGATATCATGACTTACTGATCATATAATTTCTTGTTATTATTATTATTTGTAAATGTTTCTTAATCTGTATATTTACTTTTTTAATATCAGGAACAATAATTTACATAATTCAACATGAAATAAATCCCATATTGATAACAAAAATTATATAGCAGAAATGGTAGAATATTAGTATTTGTTCCTATGAAACTTAATTTTCAGCTACAAAATTTCCTGTATTATCACAGGAAAAAATCCTGTTGCATAACTTCTTATCATTTTGTTATTTTATAGTACATGGGCAGATGGTATGAGATCATGAAGATTCCAGGCCCGTTCCAGTTGGGCGAGTGCTGCCAGGCCACTTACACTCTGAGTGACGGCATTGTCCTTGTTCGAAATGATGAGCTACTGTAAGTATTGATAGTACAATATGAATGAAATATAATTTGTTAATATTCTGAATATAACAATGGATTGATACTCAGAATATTCAGATTTTTGCACTTTCTTCTGAAATGGCTTAAATGAACCTAATATATTTTCTCTGAACATCCTCACAGTGCTAATGGCACTGTCAGCTTCATTGAGGGAACTGCCAAGATTGTAGATGCATCAGAGCCTGCCAAACTTGAAGTCAGCTTCTTTGAAGGTAAGTCTAAACAAATCTTTTTTTTTTAGCTGGTTTATTTGATTTTATTTCCAAATCTAATTTGAGTTATCCATGATGTTCTCTTTCAGATGCTCCTCCTGGCCCTTACTGGGTGCTGGCTACTGATTATGATGAGTACACCCTGATTTACTCGTGCTCTGATTTAGATGGTCTCTCTCACTCTGAGTTTTCCTGGATCTTGAGCAGAAAACGCACACTTCCCAAGGAGACCGTCTCTGAGCTGTTAGACATCCTCAATTCCCAAGGCATCAATACTGGTGTTTTTACTGAGACCGACCAGACACCGGAACTGTGCAGTGTGATGCCTTAATAAAGCCTTGAATAATGAGCAACTGTGAGATGTGTTGTGGTCTAATTTTCAGTTGACATAAAGTTAACCAATATTCAACTAGCTATTGAATCATTTTTTGTAGGCTATACTCTTGCAAGAAATGCATCCTTTCTAAAATTTTGCCAATAGTTTTATTTTAATGACATGCAAATGACATTAATACATCATCATTTGGAAAAGAAGTTTTACCTAAGATACAATGAAATGCTCTCAAAGGTAAACTTAACCTTCACCCAAAATTATTCTGTTTTAACTTCTGTTAACATAATTGCAAATCAAACAGAAACTATTTGTTTGTAGTGTAATCCTTTCAATTTTACTCAGAGAGAAAGTTTCCAGTCAGTCATATTTATAGAGCACATTTATAAACAACAGCTGTTGGCCAAAGCGCTGTACAAAGTGCAAACAAGTATCCATAAAACATGAAACCACAAATAAACAATACAATATCTCTACAGCCGCTTATGACCATATAAGCAGCAGTAAACAAGTGGGTTTTAAGAAACGATTTGAAATCAATTCATGAAGGTGCAGTATTTATGTAAGATGGCAGATTATTCCAATTGCTGAGTAGCGGCCACAGAAAAGGCACAATTTCCTTTTAATTTTGGACGTGTCCTTGGAACAGTCAGCTACTGGTTGACCTGAAATTTCTAAAAACAGTGGGCTGAAAGGAGATCAGAGATGTATGGAGGACCAGTCAATGCAATCCCTTATAAACAAACAACAGTGTTTTGAACTCAATACGATGTTTAACTGGAAGCCAATGGAGAGAGAACAATACTGGCGAAATTTGTCTTCTTTTCCTTGTTCCTGTCAGCAATACCAACATAGAAATACACAACCTCACTTTTCCAACATAGAAAGACACTAAATGGAACTTTTCTCGGAGTGGCCTGTGGGATCATCTACATTCCATGGTCTGCATTCCACAAATACTCTAAATTGAGCTCAAACAGTGCTCTGATCAGATCATTTATATTTCTTTGTGATATATGTTTGAGTTGTGCCGCTGTGAAATTGATAAGCTAGCGATGGATGCTTTGTAGTCCTTTGTCTCATGGGCTGATAACGACTATGTTGTGGAACAAGTGCTGAAGTGATAAACTGGGGCCAAGAAGAGAAGCCCACTTCATGACTGCCCAGTTTACACAGTGCTTAACAAGAAACATATTTTTATAAATCTATAAAATTATTAAAATGTCCAACAGGCTCTTGAGAAAGAAGCCTTACTGCTTTACTTACAGAAGATTTTTATCCATTGGTATCAATATTTGACATCTTTTGTGACTGATCACACAAAGTTTACAAGTTGCATTTGAAAAATAGCTAAATACGGTCTAAATAATAGCCACATGATGTCACAATATACAGGCATTTGCCGACACCTGTTGTGCTTCTCAATATCCCTCCTCGTCTCCTCGCTCCTCCGTCCTCCCTCCTATGACCCGGAAACCGATCGAGCTCAGCCATCTTGAAGGACATCTCAATTCTCTAATTGCACCGTGAGGAGTCGAGGATCGAGGAGGAGGAGGCTTCCTGAGGAGTCATAAGCGAGGATACACAGGTGCATCCTACGCGGAACTGGTATATTGACTAAACGTGACGCACGTGTCAATTCTCCTCCCCCTTCACATCGGTCACAATCATTTTAATTTATACTTTACCTTTGCAGTTTATATAAACCACACATCTCAGATATTTCAACAGACAGTATAGTCTATCTTTATTATTATTTATTATGAATTACCAAACTTCAACAACATAAGGGCAGATCCTTTTAGCGCTGCTGGTGACGCTCGAGTGATCAAGAATTCCAATGGATATAAAAAAAAGCTTTTATTCGATTCCTCTGTCCTCCTTTCCTTTCCTCGCTTCCTTCCCTCACGTCCTACAGGGGGTGGAGCTGAGACGCAAGGAAAGGAAGCAAGGAAAGGAGGATGCACAAATAAGAAATGAGAAGCACCCCTGTACCATTGCTGAGGGCAGAACGTTAGAAGAAGCAATACGAGTTAAACGAAGTGAAATGATTTCCGTGGATGTTAAAATCGTGCCGGAGGTTCAGTTAAATTGGGATTTGTCTATGGGTTCCCTCGCTCTAAAGTCTATGGGATTTTTCAATGGGTTTTTGCTAAATCGCCTGAAATAAAGTCTGTGGTGAACAAAACCTCTAAATATTTGCACGTTTTGATCTATGACATAGAACACACAGTTATAACCTGCTTGTGTTTTTAAAAAAAAAACTTTATTGTGTCTTTTTGTGTTTTTTAAAAACTTTATATAGGCTTAAAATGTATAAATTTTGGATTAACTTGTAAAGATTATCTTGATAGACAAAACGTGTAAGGGTCACAACTCTTTGTTAAACACAGATCTTATTTTTTGCGATTTTCCAAAAGTCTATGGGGAAAATGCATCCCAGATAGTACAAGTCTATTTGATGTAATATTTACATCTGGTGTTCAATGGGTGTATTGTTGGAAAAATAAATATAGAAATATAATTTGACACAAGAGGGCAGTATAGCCCTATTTATGGTTTTGAGTTTAAACTAAACCGTGACATCTACACGTTTTCCAAAGTGGACCAAGATTATTTCAATTCTTGTCGTGATACGGGTTGGGCACTGAAGATAGCACTGAACGTCTTGCCGACGTTGGCAATTGGAGGGCACCAGCGGCAAAGTATCGGGAGGGGATTTTCCCCTGCACAACAAAAAACTTTGGTGGGTAAACCATCGGCGGGCCGCGGGATGAATAGCCACTTTCATGCACAACTCCGGAGATCGGTGGAGGAACCGTGATGAACCATTTTGCCGATCCCGCTTCTATTTTTTTAAATAAATAATATCTGCGCAACCGTTGGTCCACATCAAGACCTTCACGCGCGTGCACACGTTTTTATGACGGTGCGCTATGCGCGTGAGTGATCTCAGCATCGTCTACACTACAGTCTACAGCAACGGACTCTGTGAGTATGTTTATCCTTTTCAAACACACCGTTTTCAGGCCAGTAAGTGTTTATTTTGTTTTATGTACTTATTTTTTCATTGAAAAATATAATTTTGTTAGAAAACGTCGAGTTTTCTGAGAAATGTTTACGATACGGATGACAGAGATTGGCGGCGGAGGATCAACAGTCATTTTCTAACTGTTGACTTTAATTATTAACTGACTGTTTTATGTTCTCGCATTAAATATTTTCAATTAGTTATTTTTGACAGTAGCCTATGTATTTTTAGACATGAGGGGAACTCGTTTTTCGTCAGTCTGAGGATAACCTAAAACAACCAGGCTAAACTAATAAACGGTCATAAAACTATGGACTGACTTTTTTTCCAAACAATCCTACATCTGTCCATTTATAATATTAACCCCTTACACTCAAGGGATTTTTAATTATTTTGTTTAAGTGACATATGCTTAAAATTAAAGCAGCTCTTTTGTTGTGCGTTTACCGTGAAAAGTAGACCTGTCAATCAAAGACCTAGTTTAGTACAAGCGCGCATGCCACTAGACAGTCATACAAAGAAGTGGTTATAGTAAAGTGATAGTAAGTGAAGACACACAGCTATTCATAAAAATAGAGCCTTAACCTTTGTTAAACAAAATAGAATGGTCTTTTCTGTTTTTTTCAGTGAGTGATTGATCTAGAAGTCATCCTACAGTTCTGAATTGCCATTTTCTTAACATACTGTTTTAGTCAATAAAGATAAATTGAGTGCACATTAATTCACAAAGGCATTTGCAATATATTTGACTCCTTTTCATGTTTCGTCTTTTTCTCAACAGGAGCTACATACACCCCAAAGGCTCTTTTCAGAGCCCAGGCCCATTTTGCACAGCGTCTTTGCCTTTGTACAGTAAGTATGTGTTTTAATTGACCTCAAAGACAACTGAAACACTATCTTTAACTAATCTAGTTAAAAGTTATTTTGCACATGATTTCCATTACACGAGAGTAGATGTTAAAACTTCATGCAGATTTGTACTCGGCTTTCGCCAAGATTAGCACAAACTAAGACGTAGCTTTATAGTAAACTATGCTTCTCCATCCATTTACACTTCTTTCCATATGTTGGTGTGACTCCCCTTCTGTCCGGCATTACGGCTGCAGTGTACTTGCCGCGTCAGCACACACGACGGCTGGAACTACAGTATGGTCTTCCCAGTGGACCAGCACCACATCCATCTGGATTGAGACGAGTAGGGGACATCTCTAGGGTCTTCACATATTGATACACACGTATGTAATAACTTTCCCCTGTTTGCTTGTCTTGATTATTGGCATCCTAAGATCCTAAAAAATGTGACCTTTACCTGTCTCTGCCTTTACTGTCTGTACTATTAATTTTGCATCAGGAAAGCCTATACCTTATAGTGGAGCGAGTGGACTAGTAGCAAAGGAATGGTTTACAGGTAGGCCAGGGCAGTAATGTAGTGGAAATATTTATCTTTGACCTAAATAAGGCTACAGGAGAACTCCATTGTCAACATCAGGTTAATGCTGAGTGCTGTAACGTTGCAAATTTTATGTTTATGTTGGTATAGATATTTGTCAACTGTCTATCACTGTCAATAAAAGGTATTTTTTGTCACTCAGCAAATATGATAGAGGCATGGCAAACTCAAATTTTTCTGGACACGATAATTTACATTTGCATGCTTGTTTATTTTCCTCGTCGTCTCTCTCTGTCTCTCTATACCAAAGAGACTGGATGACAAACTCCCGGTTCCTTAGCGTGAACTAGAGCTTAGATTCTCTGCCCGAGCAAGGACTTGACCCGACCTGGGCTGACACTATCCTCGGGTCGGGCCTTAGATCTAGAGACGTGCACTCCCAACGCAATAGAGTGCGGCGCTGCACTAGATTCGATGGCCGAGTGCAAGCGGTAATGCACTCACTCTGTGTGTGCGGGTTGCGGGAGAATAAACCGATTTGCGGTACTCCCGCAAACTAGCAATATTTATTTATAAAACATATAAAAACTAATAGATTTTTAGTCATCTGCAAGAACAACTAAAACAAAGTAGTAACGATTTACAGGCTAGAGTTTCTATTTATAACATGTTTGCATTATTGAGCGATGTAGCCAATCACATGTTGATTTCTTGAACGCCAATCAGAAGCATTTAAGATATACTTTCCTCACTGCTCAAAACAGACTTTTTTTATTCAGTGATGAATTCTGTATGCTGGCAAATCCTCTAATTATAACAAACAAAGTGTAGCCTAGATATTATATGAGATTCATTGTGCAGTCAGCTTCATTGGTAATAACAGAGATGTGTGAGATCATGATGAACTGTCAGCTTTTTTGGAATTATTAAGGGAGCCCATTCAGTCATGCCAGACAATGCACGCAGTAGCTGCTTGCTTTATGTTAAATTAACAGTGGGTAACAGTGTGTTAATGTTTTAATAACAAATAATTTAGGGTATGGTCGGGTTTTGTTTACAACCATTTTATTTGTATTTTGGCTATTTATTCAAGTGCATTTTCTGTTAACCGGGACATTGCTTTTATTGTTTTTTGGTTGTTTTGTTCATTTATTTTGTATATTTAAAATGTTTTCCAATTTCAGTGAGCTTCATATGTTTTTTGACTTTTTGATCATCCTCTTTGTTTCACACAGAGTATGTCACCCATGTCATATTTCTCTCTGTTCGATGTGATCAATATGATAACTAATCTTTGTAAAAACGTTTCATTTACAGACCATTGCAACTTGGATCACCATCACCACCACCATCCCCTGCATCAGACACCCTAAATCGTGCCCTTCATCAGACACCCTACAGTAAATGCACCACAAACAACACAGGCAAAGAAGAAGAAAACGCACGACAAATCTCCTCCAGCCCATCCCACATCATCGTATAGTAAAGGTAAGTGTCCCCTCTGTAGTAAACTGCATCAGGTCCCTAAACTCAAGTAGACACAGTGTACTGCACAGGTCCAGCGCATACCATAGTTTGGTGTTCCAGATATGATTTTGGAGTTTATATTGGTAGTGTGATAAGTTAGCCAAGGTTTTCTGTCTTTCCAAGAGGCCGCAGTTAATATTCAAGAAGGAGGACTGGAGGACTGATATGGAAGCACATGGGTAGCAATATTCAATTTGAAATGTAATATGCAAAATGACAATGCAATATGTAAAATGGCATTGCATTGTGTATTTAAATTTATATTTTACATTCTAGCAACGTTTGTTGCAAAATGAAAATGAAATTACATAATTTACATTTGCCATTTCATACACTAGTTTTAATATGCATATTGAAATGCTTTATAAGTGTCAAAATGAAAATGAAAATGAATTACAGAAATGATTAGATGTGTAACATGTTCAAGCAAAAACTGTGGCAAATTTAATGATCATTCAAATGTTACTTTTCTTAATTGCGTTTGCACTCACAGTCAAGACACTTGAATGAAATTAATCAAATTAAATCATGAAATTAATTTTCATTCAAATTGAATATTGCTACCCATGTGCTTCCATAGACTGAAGGCTTTCCTGACTGTAAGCTATTTAAGACGCAAACAAAGAACACACTGACACACACTCGCAAACACACACACAAACACATATAGAGCACAGCACAGTTCTATGCAAAGTGGGGAATGACAGAAAAAGTTTGAGAACCACTGATGTGGAGTGACACTGGGTTAGCTCTGTTATTTTGACATGGGTTAAGATGAGTTGCTGCTGATAGAAATGTGTGGCAATTATTACTCAGCTCACTGACATTAGTTTATATAATTGTGATAAACTTGACTTACTGTTCACTCCAATAATTTGGTTTTTCTCTATTTTCTAGTGACGCCGCCGGATAATAATGACGGCCTGTGTGCTTTGCAGCCTTTTCTAGGGATCCTTCAGAGGACTAACAATGGTACGATATTTTATATGTAATGTATGCTACTGCACTTCTTACTCAGAACATCAGACTAAATTAGTAAAAGTATAAATTTGCTTTATTTATTTTTTATTTTGTTTCGTTTAGGTGCTGTGTTAAGAAATCCTACCCAACAAAATTCCACTGAGGCAGATGTAGAGATGACTGCGAGAAACTGGCTGCGGCTGAGGAGGGACAGGAAGCAAGAGGGCGAGCATCTTAAAGTGAAATAATTGATTGGACTGATTTTTCCTGTTTACCTATTTTGGAGGGAATTTCTTTTTGTTGTTGTTGTACTTTTCTATGTGTGATTTGATGAGTGTTAAAATAAATGATACTGCTTTTGCAAAAACAAAAGTAAAAAATAAATGTTCAAGGTCATCTTCCGGTGCTCTCATTTTTATTATTTATCCTGGAAAACTCCTAGCTTAATTTGCATGACCATCAAACTTAATTTTAATATCACTGATCCATTCATTTTTTATGTTAGACTGACATTTCCCAGGTAGTCAGACTGTGTTTGAAATAGGCTACACCCTACACAAACAATCACTAACTTTCAATTTAACTTTCACTTCAATTTCATTTCAATTTAATTGCAATTGTCAAAATTGTTAGGGAAGAAATGTTACGATTAACAAATCATATTGTTATTGATTGTTGATAGACAATAGGCAACCTGTGTCCTTGGAACAATCTGACAGCAGTTAGCCTAAACAAATCAATAATTAGACATAACGGTGGGATCCTACTAGAGCGGCGAAAAACATTCAGAAGCCTCGTTACCTTTGACTTAACACCGGAACAGCTGATTTTCAAGCATGCTGTGCCCTTTCCAGCGATGCAGACGAAAATCAGCTGTTCCAGTATTAAGTCAAAGGGAGCGAGGCAGGCGTCTGAATGTTTTCCCTGCTCTAGTGGGATCGCGCTGAATAGGTCATAATAATTATATCGGGTATACGTTGGCTCACGGTCGGCGATCATGTCGGGTATACGTTGGCTCGCGGTCGGCGATCGTTCTAAAACCACCGTCTTCCCAATGTCTTGCCGATTAGCTACCGATCTCCATAAGACATCTTACCGAGGCACTTTATGTCGGGCAGCCACGCGCGCCCCAACGTCGGCACGATCTAATTTGTTGTCTGGGGGAGTTCCCGTTGCTAAGCAATGGAACTAGGTCGAGTATTTAAAAGTTTATGGTTAACACGGTTAACGTGGTTTAACGTCGATGTAATACGTTGTTTTTAGCGTTTCTTTGTTTAAACGAGGAGCTGGGGGGACGCCGGAAAAATAGACATTTTACTCATTTGGCTGCTTCATTAAAAACGTGACATTTAGACGTTTTCTTCGGCGTGGATCCATGAATCATTTTCACCTTGAAAATAATAAATGGTTTTTGCAGTTTAAATAGACCATTTCTCAGTGATCGTCAATAAAACAAAATTCCATTTTTCTCAGTTTAATGAAAACCAATAGGTATAGTTTAGATCTGGAAGACGTATTTTAAAGAGTGTTTGCTCATCTGCAATATACGTCTAGGACGTCTTCTTTCAGATGTCAAATATGTTTAGAAGATGTCAGTTTAACATGCATTCTAAATCATTACATCTTAAAGACATCTTCTAAACGTCTATTTGACATCTGACAGGGACGTCCTAGACGTATTGCAGATGAGCAAGCACTCTTTAAAATACGTCTTCCAGATGTAAATATTACATCAAATAGACTTGTGCTATCTGGGATAGCTTTTCGATCGGAAAACCCATTTGCGCCGCTATAGCTTCCGAGTTGTTCTACAAAGTGACGTCATCACTTCGGCACTCTATGGAGTGTACGTCACCGAAAGTAACAGATATGAGCTGCATTTTATTGATCATCGGCTAATTTCAAAATCAGCAAAGCCCTGGTAAGACCATTTCTTTTCTTTACTTTTAATGAAAATTGTAGTGTTAAGCGTCTGCGACTTATGCCGAGTTCAGACTGCACGATTTTCAAAGTAGTTTGGTCGCTGTTCTTTTCACACTGCATGACTATCTTGGCCAGCAGCATTCAGTCGCTGCTGTGTTCACTCTACATGATGGATCGGCGACAGAAGGTTTTACTCTACATGACTTTTCAACAGGAAAAATCGCCAAAAACTCTGTCTAGCACGCTACGAACTATACGTTTCACAACAAACACATGTGAGATGTGACCTTTTACTGTGGATGTGACAAGGAAACAACCCCACACCACACAAACAAGACCAAAGTTCTCACGTAGGACTTTTTTCTTTTTCAACCCAGTTGTGATACAGCTCAAATAAAACGTCAAACAGACACGGGTGCTCCTGACAAATTTCTACTAATTTTTCTTCCATTTCTTGGGTCCAAAAATAGACCGAGAAAAAGCCTTTTTTTTTTTTATATGATGATTTTCTGATATGTGATCTATAACTCCTCCCCGAACTCCCCGCTGCTCTGTATCTGGTTCTCTCATTGGCTGTCGGTAATCGCCGATGTAGTTTTCAGTCAGAACACTTTTCACACAGCAGGACTTTGAATTGCAGACAGGTCCAGATGTTTAGCAAGCCAAATATCTCACAGGCGTCGGCGACTTGTCGGCGATTCTCTCAGATCGCGTCTTTGCTCATTCACACTGCGTGATTGTAACTCGCATCAACTAGCGCTTTACGCCTCTTTTTTACCTGTGTTGGACGCATCTGTCGAGATGACTTTTCGGCGAGATACAGTTCCCATAGTCACTCCTCGCTGATACCATTCGGCCAACTGGTCGAATGGTAGCGAACTGGTCCGGCCTTGGTGGGACTAACACACTATTACCCCATTTGCCGGGCAAGCGTGTGCACGCGGTAGCTTTCTTGTAACGTAAAGAAAGCTAGCCGCGGTTGGCATAGCTGTCAGCGGCGCGTCCCCCATTCAGCACGACGGCAATGCGACTCGTGAGCAGCAGTTGCGCGTCGGTGAGAGGGGTCAGCTTTAAACGCTTCGAGTCGAGCCCGCAGGGTCGACAACAGAAGCTCTTCGCAGAGGTCACATCCGCCTTTGGTGAGAGCGAGCTCTGCGTGTTCCAGTCCCAGGCAGAGATTGCAGAAGAGATGGCGGTCTCCGGTGCTGAGAGGGGCGTGGCATGAGCCGCCGGTGGTGCGAGGCATATTTAAAAAGACACTCGCTTGATCTTTTGTGAAGTTCACTTGGAACTTATGCTCTAAAAAGGATACGTCAACCGGATGGCATAGCTCGCAGGATGGCTGAAGGTGGTGAAGACTGCCGGCTTGTTCAGGCACTGTCCAGGCTCGCTACAGGCCCCTCAATGGCAAGGTGGCATCTGCAGTTCAGAGATGCGAAGAGCTTCGCTGAAGAGATGAAAATCAGGGATGCGGCCTACAAACCGCACTTATATACACTCTAGCCATGCCCATTCTGGCAAGCTATGATGCAATGACGGTGTGAGTGCCTCTAATTGGACGCGAGTTCACTCGAGTTTGTCTATAGGCTGCAGCAGTTTGCCACAGAGCAACCAATGAGCTTGCTTGCTAGCCCGCTCAAGGCCTGCAGCTGCTGCACTGCGTTGATAATGGATACAAAAATTAAGGATAATGTTTTGGCTTCAATATCTCAGAAAAGATGAATCTTTCCCACGTAAGCTAGCTTATGCAATTTGAGAGAACCTCTCATGAGAGAAAGGTATTTTCGTTTTATAATTACAAATGAATTACAGATTATCCAGAGATCCCCTGACCCCATAACACCTCCTGAAGTGGTTTGAGTGATCGGATTCAAATCCGTCTCAAATGAGTTTAGGAGGGCATTTACGCCCCCTAAGTGTCACGGTGGAGAAGGGTGTCGGATTGATTCGAAGCCTCGCCCTCGACACATCATGGCACATTTCGTTTGGTTCAACAACTGTTTCATTGCTTCACAAAGCCTCGATCTGCCCACCACAACCAGGCAAGTATGAGGGTGTGGGGGGATGCTGAAAAACTGTCACTGTCAACTGTCAAGGAACATTGGTGTGTCAAATGAATAGGTCTCCAAGCTTCTTCTTCTTCTGGCTTTCCGGCAGACTAGATGCCTACGGCATGTTGCTGCCTCTCACAGTTCAGTCTTGGTATCGTTTTATGGCACCACCATTCTCAGAGGGCTAATCCTGTTGCAGTTATAAAGTCCATGACTGCTTCCACTATCCTCGATTGGTTCTCATGAGGATTTAAAAAGGTCTCCAAGCTGATTGGATAGATATGTTGATAACTGATTGTCGACAGCTGGTTGGAATAATGTGCTAATTGGATCAATTATTTGAACATGCTGCTACCAAACTTTGTTGATAATAGGCTACATTTCTTATGGCTAAAATGTGCTTACGTGACAGAAATGGGACATAGTTTATCGCATTCACACAAATTAAATCTTTTATGTGTTGTGTTCTGTCACAAAATTAATGATTTTATTAATTCTTGTATAAAATGTACAATCATGTAAAATAAGCAAAATAATAGGACATTAAAATACTGAGGGATTGACACATGGATTCTCGGGACACCCTTTGAGTTTTATTTTAAAGATTTAAGTTTCAAAGATGTGGAAAGCGTGACTCGTTGATCACCTTCTTCTGTGAAGTTCAACTGAAGGTGTGTTTACTTAACCTTCAACATCTGTGTGAGCAGATGCCCAGATTCCCCAAACCTGTTCTAATGAGGTTTTTTTAAGTTGAAGGGGGGTGGAGTTAGTGATATAACCAAAAGATGTAAAGGTCTATATATACTAAACTTTGTCACTGTTCTTTACCTTCTACTCTTGAGTCCAAACAGGTAAGGTGATTGCTTTGCCAACCTTTAATTAACATTTCTTGTTATCCTCATTAAGTATGTGTTTTTGTTTTTTCAGGTTCAAGCTGAAAGAATGCAGGCTCTTCAGGTTCTGTCTCTGACTTTTCTGTCCGTGCTAGCGGTCAGTGCTCAGTCCATCAGCTCTGGAAAATGTCCAGAACCTCCTGTCCAACAAAACTTTGATCCTGCTAGGGTAAACTTTTGCTTATACACTGTCAAAAATCCACCTAAATAATTAAAGGGATAGTTTTAGCTTACCTCAAGGGCATCCAAGATGTAGGTTTCTTTGTTTCCGCAGTATTTTCAATTTTGATATTTTTCGGTCAAACCGTTGTTGTCTATCAGTCATATAATGGAGGTTTAGGGGGTCAAAATGAAACATGATTTAATGACTCGTAAATGTAAGTACACATTGATGGCCTAAGACGCAAAACGAGCGGTTTGTGTGTTGGACATGGCTGTGGTTACACAAGGTAAAAAGAAAAACGATATAAATACTGTTCGTTTTCTCACACAAACCGCTCGTTTCGTGTCTTAGGCCATCAATGTGTACTTACATTTACGAGTTCATATCAAAAATTAATTTCAAAGTGAACTATCCCTTTAAGGTCAGCTGCTGGCTATTAACTTGGTTGTACAAGTAATTTCAACTTATAAAAATAAATTGAGTTGAATCTCATATAACTTACAAAAAAGTTAAAATTTCCTTAATTATTTTGATGAGTTAAAGTTATCATGACTTATTGATTATAATTTATTATTTTTATTTATTTATTATTTTGTAAATGTTTCTCAATCTGTATATTTACTTTTTTAGTATCAGGAGCAAAAATTATACTACAATAATTATGACCACTTTACTGCACTAAAGCCAAGAGGAATACAAAATAAATCCCATATTGATAACAAAAATTAAATAGCAGAAATGGTAGAATGGTATTTGTTCATATGAAACTTAATTTTCAGCTTCAAAATTACCTGTATAATCACAGGAAAAAAATCCTTTTGCATAACTTATCATTTTGTTATTTTATAGTACATGGGCAGATGGTATGAGATCATGAAGATTCCAGCCCGGTTCCAGTTGGGCGAGTGCTGCCAGGCCGCTTACACTCTGAGTGACGGCATTGTCCTTGTTCGAAATGAACAGTTACTGTAAGTATTGATGAGAAAATAGTGCAATATAAATAAAATAACATACATTTGTTAATATTCTGAATATATTGAGTATGATAATAAATAAATAATAAATAACATGGATTCTGATATTCAGAATATTCAGAGTTTTGCACTTTCTTATAAAATGGTTTAAATGAACCTAATATATTTTCTCTGAACATCCTCACAGTGCTAATGACACTTATAGCTTCATTGAGGGAACTGCCAAGATTGTAGATGCATCAGAGCCTGCCAAACTTGAAGTCAGCTTCTTTGAAGGTAAGTCTAAACAAATCTTTTTTTTAGCTGGTTTATTTGATTTTATTTTCAAATCTTTGATTTGAGTTATCCATGATGTTCTCTTTCAGATGCTCCTCCTGGCCCTTACTGGGTGCTGGCTACTGATTATGATGAGTACGCACTGGTTTACTCGTGCTCTGATTTCGCCGGTCTCTTTCACTCCGAGTTTTCCTGGATCTTGAGCAGAAAACGCACACTTCCCAAGGAGACCGTCTCTGAGCTGTTAGACATCCTCAATTCCCAAGGCATCAATACTGATGTTTTTACTGAGACCGACCAGACACCGGAACTGTGCAGTGTGATGCCTTAATACAGACTTGAATAATGAGCTACTGTGAGATGTGTTGTGGTCTAATTACTTTTCATTGACATTTAAGTTAACCTATATTCAACTAGCTATTGAATCATTTTTTAGGCTATACTCTTGCAAGAAATGCATCCTTTGCCAAAAGTTAAACAGGTATCCATAAAACCACAAATAAACAATGCACAAAACAATGCAATACCATTACAGCCGCTTATGACCATAAGCAATAGTAAATAAGTGGGTTTTAAGCAATGATTTAAAATCAATGTATGAAGGTGCAGACTTTATGTAAGATGGCAGATTGTTCCACAGCTGGGAAGCGGCCACAGAAAAGGCACGATCTCCTTTCAATTTTAGACGTGTCCTCGGAGTCAGCTGTTACTACTGGTTGACCTGAGATTTCTAAAAACATTATGGTGGGCTGAAAGGAGATCAAAGATTTCTAGAGGACCCAGTCCATGCAATTCCTTATAAATAAACCGCAAACGGGAAATCCTTTTTACTGTCCGCGTTTAGATTTCGGCAAATCAGTTTGGGCAAATCCAAAAAACGTGATTATTGTTCATGAGTCAAACACCCACCCACGGACGAAATCATGCAATCTACCACGAGGGAATAATAAACTGATGCGATTTGCTTTAATGATGAATTTACATCTCATTGCTCATCTGTCTGATCAAACGCTTCACTGCACAAGTGGTTACACTTCTTCATAGCTTTTATTTGTATTTCTTAATCAAGTCTCAATCAACCAATTAACTATTTTTTGTGGGATATGAGCACTGATTTAACTGAGGAACTTTCTATTGTCCCTCTTCTCAAAGTCCTGTATGTTACTATTGTATAAGCTACGCATGGGCCCATTAGGAGCAAGGGAAGGGGGTACCCATATGAAAAAAAAAACAGCATGGTTCAAATACAGCAACCATATATCTTTCTTACTTAAATTGGCCAGAATTACCTTATGTGTTTCATGTAAGACCAATACATGTCCTATTCAAAATCAGACCGATTATGGCCCCTTTCATACTAAATAGATACTTATAGGGGATTTTTGTGTCATATATGAATACTGTAAAAGTCTTATATGAGTTGTACATGACAAAAGTATGGAATGGTGTGGTAGAAAACACACAATATTCATATACAAATCATTTAAAGTTCTTATATTGAATCATATGAGTTTTACATGACAAACATATGCAATGGTATATGGTTTTATTAGAAAACAACTCAAATTCATATACAAATCATTTAAAGTTCTTATATTGAATCATATGCTAGTCAAATTAAAGTCATATTGGATTTATACACATTTTGTGTCATTTTCTTATACTTGTTATAAAAAGTGTGTCATACAGATTTCATGTTTAGATGACCAACATGACTTATATGAAGTTTGCAAATTTGGAAATTGTACAATACAGAATTTTGTTCATTGTAAAGTAAAAAAAAAGGCAAAATTCAAACAGTGGTTTTAACAAACTATTGATTTTATTAACAAACAAGCCCCTTTACATCATAGGTTAACCTTTAAAATAAACAATAAATGCACAATATAGGCATTTCTGTCAAATGGTCTGTGATACTTCAAATCCTGAACATGTCAGTGAATGTAAGTCCTGTGTCAGTGAAGTTGATTCAGTACCTGCTTCGACTCTGCAACAGTACAGCAGTGCTCGAGTCAACAACATTCAACAGATGAAGAACAGTTCTAGGATACGAGCGGATCAGTCGCAGGGTACAAGTGGATCAGTTGTGTCCAGTTGCTAACAGTATATAGAGTTTCATAGAGCAGGAACGGCTGTGCAGATCCAACTTTCTCGAAAAATCCTGGAGTGCTGGTTCTCTAGACAACACAACACAAAACCAGATCGATCACAATTACTACAATTTGTGTCACACAAGAAACTATTTTGGTAAGACAAGAATTTACTCATTTCCAAGTAAATTAAAGACTTCATTCATCCAAAAATGTTAATTCTGTCATTAATTATTAACCCACATGTTGTTCCAAACCAGATCTTTGTTCATCTTCGGAACACATAACGAAGTTATTTTTAATGAAATTTTTAATGAAGACATTTCTGTCCCTCCATTGACAGCCTATTCAACTACCATTTCCAAAGCCACAGAAAGGAAATCTAAAGTCAAAACCATGTCCTTAGTGGTAAACTTGAGGAACGCCCATCAAAGTACAAATGTGGGGAGGCGTCGCGACAGTCGTGTCGCAAAAGTGGATCTCTACCGTCAGTCAATGCAAAGACATGTTACGCGCATAAAAAATACTGTTGAAAAATTTTTAACTTTGCCGTCAATTTGCGCAATACTAAAAAAAAATGAGCCTGCCTGCGACGCACGAATGGATTCAAAGTGTTCAAGCCTATACATATGAACACAGCATAATGATGTACCTTTATGATCTCAAACTCAATTCCTGGAGGGCCACAGCTCTGCACAGTTTAGCTCCAACTCACACCTCGTGTAAAGAAGTTTCTAGCAATCCTGAAGGCCTTGATTAGCTCAATGGATCTGGATCAGGTGTGTTTGATTAGGTTTGGAGCAAAACTATGCAGACATGTGGCTCTCCGGGAATTGAGTTTGAGATCACTGCTTTATTGAGAATGATGAGTTGACGTCATTTTACATTTTACAGTTGAAAGAAATTCTTACATGTTTGGAACAACATGAGGGTGAGTAATTAATGACAGAATTTCCATTTTGGGTGACTAACCCTTTAAGAATAAATTTAGACACCCACCTTAAGAAATCTCCCTAGTCAGCCGCCGGAAGAATCTGCGTTCCCTTCTTGTGGCTGTGATGTTGGACAGGTGATAGGCAGATATTTTCCAGTCAGTAGAGTATAAAATTAAACTTTTTTTTGGAGGGTTACAGCGATTTAACAAAGTTGCATCAAACATGTTTCTAGAACAGTGAATAAAATGTTGAAAATTGGCCAGAATATATTTTTGTATATGTGACAAACTCTGGTGGTGATATGCACAAGAATACCTTAAGGAAAGTTTTATGTTTGTACAGGTTAAGAATAGTATTTTATTTTATTTTTTTATTTAGAAAACTTTAAAGGGAAATGCAAAGACATGATAATTTACTCTGATGAAGATATCCATGTCTTTCTTTCTTCAGTCGAAAATAAATTAAGGTTTTTGAGGAAAACATTTTAGGATTTTTCTACACAGACTTCAATGGTAACCAAAAATTCAAATTTTCTAAGAAGGTTCAAATGTCCATCTCAATGTAGCTTCAAAGTCTCGACAGTATATGACATGTATGATTAAAATATATATATTAATATTATGCAATTTATATGGATTTTGCAGCATATATGTCCCTGATAATATTCTGTTGGAACATATAATCACAGGTGTTTTTAGCAAACCTTTTCCATATGGTTCCCCCAACACGTGTCTTTCATATGGACCATATCCTCACGTGTTGTGTGTTTTGCATGTTGCAGGTGTTTGTATAATGTTGCCCCTTTTCCCCTAGATGGGGTGTAACATTGTAATAACTCAAACAACACTAGTGTGATAAGATCATATGATGTGGGGCTCAACCTTCAATTGAGGACACAAGTTTCATAACTAAAGGATGAATGGAAAAACATTGGAATAACTTAATGGATATAATGTGATTAACTAAAAAAAAAATATATAGTTTTATTGATATATTGGCCAATTTTTTATTTTTTTATTTAAATATATCGGGTAACCAACTAAACCATTATTTTCAAAGTTTTGAACCTTTATTAAAGACTAAAAAGTCCAAAATGTTTAAACATCAAGGGTGTAATTTAATTCTAGAAAAGGAAAAACAATATTTACCCTGAAGGTGAACATAACATAAAATCCAAATTCATGGAGTAATGAGAATAAAGTTATAAGACTTGAAAGCAAAGTGCTTTATCCTAAACCAACATAAATAAATTGTAAAACTATAACGCTTGATGGATTCAGGCAGTTTCTTCAGGAAAACGTAAATCACAGATGTGCACAATGATGGTGCTGAATTACATTTTAAATGATAAATTGCTACCCTTTTATATATATATTTATATATATATATGTATATATATTTTTTTTTCTTATATAAAATGTACAATCGTTTAAAATAAGCTAAATAATTGGTCATTAAAATACTGATTGACACATTAATTCTTTTGGAAACCTTTTGAGTTTCATTTTAAAGCTTTAGTTTCAAAGATGTGGAAAGCTATACCCGTGATTCGTTGATCACCTTCTTCTGTGAAGTTCAACTCAAGGTGTGTTTACTTAACCTTCAACATCTGTTTGAGCAGATGCCCAGGTTCCCCAAACCTGTTCTAATGAGGGTTTTTTTTTAAGTTGAAGGGGGTGGAGTTAGTGATATAACCAAAAGATGTAAAGGTCTATATATACTAAACTTTGTCACTGTTCTTTACCTTCCACTCTTGAGTCCAAACAGGTAATATGGTTGCTTTGAGTCTACAACTGTCCAACCTTTAATTAACATTTCTTGTTATCCTCATTAAGTATGTGTTTTTGTTTTTTCAGGTTCAAGCTGAAAGAATGCAGGCTCTTCAGGTTCTGTCTCTGACTTTTCTGTCCGTGCTAGCGGTCAGTGCTCAGTCCATCAGCTCTGGAAAATGTCCAGAACCTCCTGTCCAACAAAACTTTGATCCTGCTAGGGTAAACTTTTGCTTATACACTGTCAAAAATCCACCTGAATACTTGAGATTAGCTGCTGGCTGTTAACTTGATTGTACAACTAATTTCAACTTTAATTACATTAAACAGACGATTAAAAAATTTGAGTTGAATCTTATATAACTTATAAAAAAATATTTTGATGAGTTAAAGCATAATATACCAAGTCTTATTAATCATTTGTTTTTTTTCTTTCTTTATTTATTTATTTATTTTTTACTTTGTTAATGTTTCTTAATCTTTATATTTACATTTTTAGTATCAGGAACATCGTTATGAACCACTTTGTCAACATAAAATAAATCCCATATTGATAGCACACAAAAAAACAACAACAAATGTAGCAGAAATAGTAAAATATTAGTATTTGTTCATATGAAACTTCATTTTCAGCTTCAAAATTTCCTGTATTATCACAGGAAAAAATCCTGTTGCAAAACTTTT